TTTTTTGTATGAAGCACATTCTTAACATTAAAAATAAAATAAAAGGATGAGCTTGGCTGCTATGTGTAGGGCAGACCCCAGGAGTCAAGAGAGAGTGTGTGGAGACCACTCCACCTTCCTTACCTTCCAGGATGGAAACTTGCTTCCCGTTTGAAACGACTCACTCCTATTTCCTGCTATAACAATAAGGAACTGCAGCCACAAGGCAATACAGAGAAGATAAACTAGACAATAAAACCGAAGATGAGGCTCACCCTGAGGAAACCTTTATGCACAGAAGATCCTCTGTGGATTGGAGTTCACCCCGGTAGATGTAATGAGTCATGTTTGTCTAACATGCCTCTCAAACCAGCACAAAGCATCTTGTCCTCCCTGGGAGATTTAATTACGGGTAGTCATTAAATAAGTTACTTGAAACAAAAGGTAAGAGAGGAGAAGAAACCAATTAAGTGATAATTTAACCTGGGGAGGAGCAAGTTAAGAGGAAATTAAATTTAGGTTGCCGTGCTGTGATCTGAAAAGCACAGATCTCACTCCCTCCACTGGAGAATCTGAGGGACTCCACTTGGACCTAAAGCTGAGGCTGTGATCATGACCATGAGATGTAAGGTGACCATGAGATACCATGTAAGCAACCTGGGGAGATTTAGAAATAGTGATGCTCAGCCCCTGGCCTATGGAAGGTACACAACAAATATTGAAGGAATGAATATCATAGTGAAGGAGATCATGCCACCAGGAGACAAAAGAATGACAACACACCTCTTAGTCCCTGAGAGCACTTCTCAGAACAGGAGTGAAGAAAGCAGGTAGAGAAATTGCAAGGCTCGTCATTACAACTCCGTGGGAGGGGGGAGAGGTGCAGGGACAAGTTCCCAGACATGAGTCCAAAGCCCATCATGGCCCTAAAGGCCACACCCTAAAAGCATGTGGCCCAGAGTCCCCCCTTCATCTCTTTCAGAGCTTGTTCTCCCACAGATGCCTCATTGTGAGCTTATTTAGCCTTGGAGCACCCAAGACCCAAATGAATTGGACCAAATGATCCAAGCAGCAGTCCTCTAAGCCTGGCCTCAACCTATCTCTCCATCCTCCACTCTCACCACTCCCTGCCCTTAGTCTTGAGGGTTGCTAAGTTGCTCAGACATACTGCACTGAGCTATACTTCCCTGCCTTTACTCTGGCATGCTTGCTGCCTAGAGCACCATTCTCCGCTACACCCCTGCACCTCTCGATTCAACTCCAAGTCCTCACCCCTTTCAAGTGGCTGACTCTCCAAGCTTCAAGATTCATCTGAGATGTCACCTCCTCCATGGAGCCTTCCTTGAATCTCTAGGCAAAAGTAAGTCCTTCTTCCCTGGTCTTCCAGAACTTCAGTGTTTACATCTACTATCACTCTAACAGTCTCCTAAAAATATGGAAAATCTGTATTTAATGTCTGCCTCCCCAAAACTCTCCATTTTCATGCACACATATTCACACTGAACTATATTTTTTCTCAAGGGTGAGGATTCTCGCATGATACTTGTCCAGCTGAAGCTTTTAGTGAATTTGTAGACAGAGGAGCTCCTAGTCTGATGAAAGAAATACTGTAGCCCCTAAGGACACTGCACAGGGAAGGGAATGTGATCAGAATGAGGACTGAGAAGGGCTAAGGGTGACAGAGCAGCAGGATGAGCCAATAGGGTGGAGTCTCTCCAGGAGGCTTTCGGCAAAAAAGGACTTCCTCTTAGAGGGGATTAGAATCCTGCTCACAAAAATGTTGAATGCAAACTGCAATTGAAAAATAAAAATAAGATAGAAACTTGCTCTCTGTAAGATCACTTACCCCTATCTGTAACACCTAGGCCTACCTGCCCTTCAAGGCCCCCACTTAAATGCCACCTCCTGCATGAAGACTTCTGTGATTGCCAACCTGCTCACTCACCCAAAATGAGAAGTAATTTCATCCTCCTCTGGACTCCCATACCCACTGTTTGTAACTCCCACCCAGGAGCATTTATCTGGTTTCCAAGTTATTATGTGCATGTTCTTATCTAGACATTATCATATATATTGAACACTACTTGAAAGCAGAGTCTCATTCTTATTAGAACATTGCCTAGAACAGACTTGGCACCCAATAAGCAGTTGGTCATTTTTCAACCAACACTTGAGGGTTGGTTGGTTGGTTGGTTTGTTTAATTATATTTTTTCCATTACCATTTATCCCCTTTACATTCTTCTCTGCCCCACCCCCACAATCACCACACTGTTGTCCATGTTCAACCAACATTTATTCAATGTTGATGTGTCAAGCACAATGGCCCTGAAACATCAAAGTGAATAAAGCATGGTCCCTGCCCTTAAATAATCCAAAGGCTAATGAAAGGATGGGTAGGTGGAGAGATGGTGGGTAGGCTTCTGGCCAAAGGCAATGAAACTTTCTTCCACAAAACCTTTTCCTAGCTCATAGTCTCTCCTTAACCTTCTCCTTTGAATTCTTGAGGATCAAATCCACACTTCAATTAATAAAACTGCAGATACAGAACAATTTTACCTTAAGTCAACCATGAAACCATGAGGAACAATGAGCTTGGGTCCTTGGACTTCCACCACCAAAAAGGCCCTCTGTGGCCATGGCCCTGCACTCTCAGTCTTCTCCCCCTGGGATAAGACATGACTGTTCAGTCTCTGCCTTCAACACAGCAAAGAGATAGAACACAGACTCAGATAACCCCTTCCCTTTGTCCTGGGCTGGCCCACTGGTACCATGCCTTGAGGGGTCACACAGAGGCACAGCTCCCTTGGTTATTTTGCCAGGTAGTTGTCACACTCAACCTTGACCATCCACCCAATATATAATAGCAGACATGCCTTATTTAAAGGTCTTAGAATCCAAAGCCTGGGTCCCAACAGCAAGCTAAACTAAAATCCCACAGTAGGACACCGCTAATAAACTCTTCTGGTTTTACTAGGAACAAGGGAGGAAGATTTCAGAAGTGCTTGTAAAATTTTGCTGAAACTGAGATTTGACCCAGAGCAGAGGGTTTTGGTAAAGGCAGAGGGACCTAATGCAAACGTGGTCATTGTTTGGGAGCCAGGAGCCTGAGCCAAACCAAGGGTGTTGTTACAGCCAGGACTAGAAGCCAAGAGCTTGCGGAGCAGGGATCAGGGCTGATGAACCAAGTTTATTGAGTTAAAGATTTCCCAGCCCACAGTTGGGCCATTATGATGTGAGAAATGATTTCAATATACCTCAAGGTAGAGCACTGGGTGGGAGGGGCTGCCTCCCAAAGGGCAGGGAATGCGGCCTGTGTCTCCACCGTTCCCCTGAACAAGAAATGCTGGCCAGGACTCAAGGTGAGGGATCTGAGGGAAGGGTGTCACCAATTGTCTGAGAAGTGAATTTTCTCCCCCAATAATTCCCTTTGATTAACCAGCCAGCTTCAAACCTATGGCTCATGGCCAGGATCTACTACTGCTCTGGAAATAGAGGATGATATGAACGTTTTCTCTCTTTTTTGTAAAACAGGAATCTTCTTATATAAGTAAAATACCAAACACTCACATAGTCACTTGCCTTACAAATATGAAACCTGGAGACCCAGCAGCACCATTCAGGTGGTTGGTTGCTCTTGAACTTCGTTTTCTCAGAGGACATGAGTAATATGTTAGCCTGCCCCGAAACCCCCACCTACCACCACCACCCCTGACTTCTCAGTGTGGCCCATGGCAAACAGCAGCTTCCTGGTGAGTGAACTGGAGAAGCTCCTCCCTTTCTTCCAACCCTTGACTCCTCTCAGACACACCAGAAACTCAGAAAAGAGCCATTCCAGGATTTTCTCAGGGGAGGGGCTAAGTGGTAGGAAGAAGTCCGAGACTTCCTGTTCTGACAATTGGGGTGAGCCCCTGAGACAATGGGGAGATTAGGGTGGGGCTTGTGAAGTACCAAAGAGTCCTGCCTAGGGAGTGGCTACTCCTGGCACAAGCCCTCAACCCAAGGAAATCAAGGCCTCAAGATTAACCCTTCACTACTCCACCCCTGCTGCCCGAGCTGACCTCCAGGTCTGTGTGAAGGCCCCATGAGCAAGGACTAATCTTGGGCAAACCATGTGCCTTCTGTGTGCACACAGTCAGAGTCCCATGGGCACTACACTGGAGGGATCAGAATCTGAGTGAACACACTTGGGTGGCCAAGGAAATGAGTGTTTCCTGTATCTGCAATGAGAGGGATTTAGGTCAGCTAGCACGTGGGGAGCTATGCAGTCTTTCTCTGGAAAAGGGAAGGTTATGCTGCTGCAGGTATCCTGGAATTGGTCCAGAATAGAAACTGTGTCCACAACCGCTGTATCCAAACCCCCGCTTCTGTCTGTCCTCAGCCTCATTCCACCAACCAAACTCTCCAGAAGACCTTCCTTGCCTCCCCAACTCAGTGCACTGCCCAGACACACCCACCACTCCCCCAGACACAGCCACCTGCAGAGCTGGGGAAGTGGGCACAGCAAAAAAGCTCTGTGAAGGGCACATGCTTTCATTCCTCCGTCTAACAATCATGACCTTGTTGATTCTTAGACAAGTTCCTGAAAGCCTTGCTGGTCCGATGTGATTTGAGCCTCATGCCTGGAGTTTCCTAACTAGGGGGCCTTGCTAGACTCTGAGTACAAACACTAACAACATTCCATATTCAGTGGAGACCCCTGACTGCCTCTCTTCGTACCCATCCTACACCCACACTTCCAGACTTAGACCCTTCCCCTCCAGGTTCATCACTGAGATGGCCTGGCCCTGGCTGTCTACAGCAGCTGATGTTTGTGTGACAGCTGGTTGTTTTCAGTCTGGGCCTCTGGTCTGGAGGCAACCTTCAGGCTCCACACTTCTCCCTCTCTTCTCTGGGCATCTCAGAAGGAGAGGCCTAGGAAATCTTCTGATCTATGCAGACAGAGCCTGCAGACCCCAGCCTCCTTCACTTTCACCCGAATTCTGGAGACTTGTTCCCAGAGAACAAAAACAGTTGTTCAGAGTGAATGACAAAAGTGTTTTATTGAAAATTCACCCAAAGATGGATAGAGGGAAGGAGAAGAGTTGGATGGGACACTGAGTGGTTCTTGTCCTGACCTTGTAGGGCCAGTTGCTGCCAAGGGATGGAGAAGAAGCTGGTGTAGAGGGATATCCAGGATCTGGTAGGAGAGGGCACTGCCCTGGGAGGAGACATATGTGACCCCGATGACTCTGGAGATGAAGCTTCTGGTTGTGTTCTCCTCTGTCCTTGGTGGGTGAAGAGTCAGCTGACAATCTTCCCATTCCAGGTGAGTCACCACGCCCAAACTGAGAAGAAGCTACCAAATTCCAAAAGGGCAGATAGTCCACACCCGGCACTGAGGTGACACTGGTAAGATGAGCCCCAGAAAGGTAGGGTGAAGATGGAGGTGAAGGCAGCACAAAGACACCAAGACTGGGCCCCACTGGGCTCAGGGGGCTGCTGGGAGCTCATCTCCTTTATAGGTGAGATCTCTTGGTCAGGGTGGTGGTAGAGACGATCTTGCTGCCAGACACACCAAAGCCACAGCTACCTCCAGAGCCAGAGCCAAAGCCACCTCCCAGGCAAAACCCGGAACCACTTCCTAATCCTCCCACGACGCCTCCTGCACTGGCAGCACCACCAACCACAGCTGTGGGAGAAAGGCAAAGGACATGGTTACTCCAACAGTGCCAGTGACCAGGAGTCACAGGTCAAACCAGGGTGAAGAAACAAATGACTACGGCAGGGACAGAAGGTACTTACAGATGCTCACGGCATTCTGGCATTCTCCAGACATTCTGGGGAGGAGACAAAGAGCAGTGAGCCACAGCAGAGCCCAGAACCACACTTCATTCAATAACCAGGTGTCAAGCATCTTTCCCATCTTTAAGCAGACAAATTTAAGGCCTAAATATGAACCTGTTATCTAAAACTGTGCTTGTCTGTAAAGCACCAGAACAGCATTTGAAGCAAGTGGCCCAGGAAAAGGGCCCTGGACCTGCCATGGCTCCCAACCTCTCCATTCCTCATGTTTCTGCCCTGCTTTCTCCCCCTCACCGGAACTCCTCGCCCTCCAGCAGCTTGCGGTAGGTGGCAATCTCGATGTCCAGAGCCAGCTTCACACTCATGAGCTCCTGGTACTCCCGCAGCATCCGGGTTAGCTCCTCCTTGGCCTTCTTCAGAGCAGCCTCCAGCTCTGCACGCTTGTTGTAGGCATCTTTCAGGGCCAGTTCCCCACGCTGTTCCGCATCAGCCACGGAGGTCTGCAGAGTCTGGCACTGTAGACAAGGGCAAGGGACAGACAACCATCAGTGTTCTACTGTCAAGACCTCTACATCTGTCCCCTCTTCTGTTTGCTTGGGATAAGATGTCAGGGTTCTGTCTGTCCTTCCCCCTACCTTCCCTGATTCTTATGCATTTCATTCAGTCCAGCCAGAGCCCACCAATGCCCCTACCAGACTGATTAGATGAAGAGCCAAAACCAATGACAGAGAGCCAAGAAACCTCATTTACTGGGATGGCATGTCACATGAACTAGGATATTACTACAAAGATCTGGGTAGGGCTATGATAAAAGCTACAAATTCCCTGCAGAAAAGCTGGGGATCTCTGGCATGGTGCCTTATCTGCACATCTACTGTGGAGACATTCTGCCTTAGAGCCCTGGCTCTCTCCTGCAGCTGGAAGGAGGTGACACTTGCCTGCTTCTTGACATTCTCAATCTCAGCCCGCAGCCTCTGGATCATCCTGTTGAGCTCCGAAATCTCACTCTTGGTGTTCTTCAGGTTGTCACCATGTTGGTCAGCTGAGGTCTGGAGCTGCTGGAACTAAGGCCCAAGAGACACAGGAAACCAGGGGTCAGAGGTCTCTGAGTAGGGTTTATTCTCAAGTCAACTTAGCAAGAGTAGCCACAGGGGCAGAGTTAATACAAAACATCACATAACTTCAAATCAGACCTCAAGGAATCAGCCCATGTCTGATTTCTCTTGGGCTTCAGCTGATAATCACCTGCTCAGAGACATCAAAGCAAAGCCCCCAAAGCCACTCTCAACTCCTGAGAAATCCCCAGAACCCACCTTGGTCTGGTACAGGGCCTCGGCCTCAGCCTTGCTCTTCAGGGCAATCTCCTCGTACTGGGCACGGACCTCCGCGATGATGCTGTCCAAGTCCAGGTTGCGATTGTTGTCCATGGAGAGGACCACAGATGTGTCACTGACATGGCTCTGCATCTGGGACAGCTCCTACAGGGAAATGTCTCCCATCAGACCTCCTGGAGAGTCCTCTTTAATCTCTGACACCAGAAATCTGCTATTGTCATGGGCCACGCCCCAGGTTCAGACACAGGCAGAGTTAGCATTCCCAATGTAAATTTCAAAGCAGGCAGTGGGTGACATCTCCAGACAGAAAAGCAATATTTGTAGTCTTTTCTGCTTCCTGGGAACTATCAGCCACTCCATGTCAATGGGCATCAGTTCATTGGATGGAAAGAAATGGAGCAGATCCACTTCACTAGAGAAATGCTGAGTGGTAATTGCATGGGATTCTATCCCATGCAATCTTTAGAACTAATCACCTCTTCTAAGACAACATCTGGTCTGAGAACCTCTCATGTCAACCCTGTCCTGAAGTAAAGGAGCTAGAGTCCCTTCAAAGAATCGTGAACTCCAATCGTGCAGCCTCATAGATGGAGGATTTTCTTCCCTGAGTGGAGGGGGCAATGGAGTCCTCACCGCAGCATAGAGGACCCTCAGGAAGTTGATCTCATCATTAAGGGCATCCACCTTGGCCTCCAGCTCCACCTTGTTCATGTAGGCGGCATCCACATCCTGCAGAGGAAGAGTGGGCATAAGAGACAAGCTACAATGCTTACAACAGGGGGCAGTGGGTACTAAGTGACACAGAGGTATTCTCAGCAGCATTTAGAAAAGGCTTCTCAGCATCAGGCGAGGTGGTGAGGGACTAATCATTTGACATATTCTGCCCTTAAAGCCACCTACAGACATGGATGTTAATTATCTAAACATCTTTTTTACCCAGCCTTAATCCTTAGAATCTGGGTCACTTAGCTCTAGATGGTACCAAATGGGGTGGCAAGGAGGCACAGATGGACCAACCTCATGATTCCAGCTAAAGACCACACCCAGGGGAAGGGTGTCCTCACTGCACCTCCCCAGCCTCTTTTATCTCTTACCTTCTTGAGCACCACAAAGTCATTCTCAGCAGCTGTGCGTTTGTTGATCTCATCTTCATACCTGGGGGTGGAGACAGAAAAGGAAACTCTACAGTGAGCTAATGTTTCTCAGCATTCCGCTATTCCTTTCCAAACATCTAACTATTTGGAAATACCCGGCTGATTGGCTACATCCCCATCTTCACACAATTATTCATTCAGCCTACATTTATCGAATAATAACCATGTATGAGGTATCAGTCTAGTCCTGGTTTATTAAGAGAAGTGCAAACCAAACTTTAAAAAGACCGTTCTCAAGAGATAAGATATGAGGCAAGAAACCTGCAATGATCTGGTTGATTTTGTTTCCATTGAAGGTCTCTCCTTTTGGCCATTTGGTAAATTAAATTCTCTTTGTTCCATGTGAGAGTGAATGGAGAGAGGGAGGGTTGGTAACTTCTCAGCTCCACCCCATAATGGATGAGCTTCATAATAAGAGCCCCTGTGGATTGAATGTTCATTGTACGTTCAGCACTATACTACCTACTTTTTTACCTCATTTAATTTCATTTAGTTGTCAACCTATAAGGTAGGAATAATATTCCCACTTTAAATACGAGGAAAACTAAGGTTCAAACTAAGGTGAAGAAGCTTACCCAAGATCAGACAGCAAGTAAGTGGAAGAATCAGTATTCAAACCAGGTCCACCTGTCTCTACAACCTGTATTCTTCTCACCATGGTACAGTACTTTTCCTCTGTTCGATTTCTAATCTTGTTTGTATATGGCAAGTCCAGCTCTCTGAATGTATCATTCATTTTATGTTTGGAACAACCTAGGGTTGCTAGACATCACCCCACTAAACTGTAACCCTGGAGATACAGGGGAACAGAGCAGAGGACCTTCCTGACACTCTCAGGATATCTTCAGGGCTGGGGGTTCTCAATGATCAGAGAGGAGCCAGGGGAGCCTGGGGCACGGCCAGGCAGATTTGTGAGATGGCATCCCCTCTTTCTTCCCCACATACTTGGTCTTGAAGTCCTCCACGCTGTCCTGCGTGGTCTTCAGCTCAGACTGCAGGCGTCCTTTGTCATTGACCAAGGCATCCAGCTGCTTCCTCAGGGCACTGAGGTAGGCCTCAAAAAAGGGGTCCAGGTTTTTGCTGGATGTGGTGGTTGTCTGTTGCTGGAGGAGGTTCCACTTTGTCTCCAAAACCTTGTTCTGTTGCTCTAAGAATCGCACCTGTGTTTAAAATAGGTACAGGCCAACCAATGAGGGTCTGAAGCTTTGACAGGAGGGTTGGCCATGGCCAACACCAACCCCAACAACTCAAGCCAAACAGAGGGCCCAGCTGGGATCCACATAAGGCCATCAACGTTGCAACTCCAGAAACCATCTAGTGGGGTCACCATAGTGGCCTCACTGTGAGCCATTAGCAGCAAATGGGCCTTGTGGGTTGCGGAGAAGAGAGCACAGCCAGGGCAACAAGAACAGCTTCCCCTACAGAGATCCAGAGACCCTGGGATGGGTTGCTAAGAACACTGAACTTCTATGAAATAATAAAATAAAACAAAATTAGGGGACACAACCACCATGTGAGGTCTTGCATTCAAAGTGATTTGGGCCCATGGCAAAGGAATAATAAATTCACTGCAGACTTTTTAAATAGGGTTACTCATAAGTGGACCTGGCATGTCCCTGTGAACCTGTGCAGCACTGAATATAGTTAATTAAGACCGCGGCCCAAGATGTATTCTGAGTTTCAGCAAGACTCGGTTCTACAAGGGGACTTCCCAGCACTTTCCCTTTTTCTTAAAAGGGAAAAAGATTAAAAGATTTAACTAGATAAATCAGGGTAGCAGCTCAGCATGACATTTCCACTTTATGTGCTTCAGACTTGAAATGAAAGCAGGTAAGGGCCACTGATCACAGTTTGAACCCAAAAGATGAGATGACACAAAAAAGCGCCAAAACCTTGGTCTTGCTTTTATATCTGTATGTCCTGGAGTCACAATAAACCTCTTCAAGCTACTATTGGTCTTCTCAAACTAGCAAGAAGAGCAAACAGTCCCATTCAAATCTAGTCCAAGGTGGTTCACTCTGGACTCATACATCTAAGTGGACTAAGACCTCAGTGCACAGAGACCTGGGGCATCCTTCACCAAGTGTGCCACACCTGTCCATCCAGTCATTAATCACTGCAGCTCTCTGAGGCTGATCTGCTTCCAATCACCCATTATACCTGGCCGTAATTGAGCTCTACCCTTGCATGGAGAAGAAAGGTGGACTACGAAAAGAAAAGGAAAGACCCATTCTCTCATCTCTTCAAATAGACCCAGATAAGCAATTTTTTACAGTCAGAAGGATGAAAGCAGTGACCTTCCAAGGGCCTGCAGGGACTTTGATTCCACCATTGGAGTCAGTCCATTTTTTATTGGAGAGACCAGCCTGGTTTTCTTCTGTTCCAACAAAAGTGCCAATAGTTACATTATTATAGGAACTACAATTAAGTCTTGGCTAATTAGTACATTATTAACTTATTTTAAAACCAAAATCTGAGAAAAATCAGGGAAATAATAAACTTACTTTATAGCAGGCATGATTGGACTTAGAAAAGTTAAGTGATTTTCTAAGTATCACGCAGCACATCTAGAAAACTCCAAATACTGAACGGCTTTGTCAGCCTACCAGCCGTGAAACAAAAGAGGCTCAGAATGCTGACTCCCTTTAACAGCTGAGAAGTGGAGGCCCAGAGTAGTTCAGTGGTCTCCCCGTGACAGGCTTAGGTCTAAGGTGTCGAGACTCAGCAACCCTGGCTCTGCCGCCTTGTCTGGCGGAGGGGGCAGCTCACCTTGTCTATGAAGGAGGCAAACTTGTTGTTGAGGATCTTGATCTGCTCTCGCTCCTGAGTCCGGACCTGCTGGATCTGAGGATCAATCTCCACATGGAGTGGGGTCAACAGGCTCTGGTTGATGGTGACCTCCTGAATCCCTCCAGCAGGGCAGACAGGAGAACCACCCCGTCCACCAAAGGAGCCCCCGAATCCACCACCAAAGCTGCCAGCACCAAAACCAGCACCAAAGCTGCCAGCCCCGAAACCTCCAGCAGCTCCAAAGCCAGCACCCTGCCGGCATCCAGCCATGCTGATGGAGATGCTCTTGTTCCCCCCAAGGTTGTAGAGGCTCCTGCTGCCAAATCCCCCAGAGGAGCAGCGGCCTGCACCCCCAGACTTGGAGGCTGAGCTGAAAGCAACCCTCTTGACCCCACCTAAGACGGCAGAGCCAGAGCTAAAGCCCTGGGACAGGCCCCGAGCACCCTGCTGTCTGGAGATCATGGCTGGAGAACAGAGAGTGAGCTCTGAGTAGTCAGAGAGAAACAAGAGGGCCCAGGCCAGTGAATGCTGCAGCCCTAGCCTGCTTCTCTTATATGAGCTGGAGCAGCAGGGCTTGGTTGCAGGGGCATAAAAGGAAAAATCTGAAATATCTCTGGGCTTGGCCTTTGGCACCAGCCCATTCTTCTCACAATTGCTGAGCATGTCACTAAACACACCTACAGAAGTCATTTGGAGGGCACAGGTAACTGGAATCCAACACAATCCCTCCCCTTCAGGAGAACCTGAACCAGAGCTCCAGGGCCTCCTGCATTGGAGGCCCTGCCTGGCCCCACCTGCCAGGTGCCCCACCTTCCATGTCCCCCACCCAACACCCTTCCACCTCATCAGCCTGCTGGTGGCCTCCCTGCTCCAGACAAGACAATGCATCACTTTTCTTCCACTGCACAGAATTTGGAACCTGAGGGCCTGGGTTCAAGTGCACAACCAGCCCTTACCAGCTCTGCAAACCTGGAGCAAATCGCCCTCTGAAGCTCAGTTGCTTCTCCTGTAAATTGGAAGTCTTACATCATAAATTATCAGGAGCTGCACCTATATTTGTTATTATTGTCACTATTATTCCTCCATGGGCAGTTGGCCCCTTGCAAATTTACCAAAGTGTAAATCCATATTACAGCCTACAGCTTTCCTAACCTGGATCAAGACGCCTCTGCTCCGTTTGCCGCCCAGCCATGTGCTCGCCTCCTCTAGGACAGAGCCTGTTCTGCTTTCTCATACTTGGTCCCAGCGTTTATAAACATGTGTAACTTCTTCGGTGCTGGAGACCCCTTTGGCAGAACAGTGAAACCTATGAGGCCCTTCTCAGAGCAATGTTTTCTAATACAAAATCCTAGTTTTCAACCCCAACATAAATTCTTTCCCACTGAATGCGACAGATTTGTATTCAAATCCTACCTATTGCCACTGACCAGCAGTGCAGTCTTGGGCAGGTCAGCTAACCAACCCCTCGGAGCTCATTCCACTCATCTGCTTATCCATAAACTGTAATACCTGCCTCACAGGTAATGAGACAACGTGCCTACAGTGTCTGGCACTCAGTAGGTCAGTAAGCATTCATTCCCTTCCAGCCTGGGCCTTGCCATTGCCACTCCTGAGGAGAAATTAGGTAAATCTGTACCCCTCTCTGCTTCTCGCTTCCTCATGAGACTGCTAGTTTAAATCTGGGGAACAGCAGTGACCAGAGGGTCTGGACCGCTCTGGTTTGTCAGACAGGCCTGAGCTGACCCTGACCAAAGGAAAGTTGGCCATGGTGAAAATGAATAGCTCCCTCCATGCAAAGAGAGAGAACAGGGCCAAGGGGTGAGAAGAGGATGGTCAGTGGATCCAGGCCTTGAGGACAGGGAAGGATGGACTGGCTGGGAGTTCTCTCTCCTGAGCCAGCTCCCTCTCTCCCCACCTCCATCCTCCTCTCCTCTCCCTACCCTCCTCTTGCCTCTACCTCTCATCTGTCCCCTCTCACTCCCATTTACCTCCACCTTTGCTGGGCTCCCCGTGCTGTGCCCAGGTGGCCTCTAAGTAAATGGAGAGTAGGTGGAAGAACCGTGACAGTGGTGACAGGACAACCCGGGCTCCATCCAAGGTCCGTGGGAGAAAGCCCAAGGGATGGCCAGTCCCCCTGCAGTAAGCGAGCACTCCAGAGCCAGGACCGTCTCCTGTAAGGGATGGGGTTGAACATTCACTCACCCTTTCTATGCATATTTAGTGAGTGTCAACTTTGTACCAGGCTCTGTGTGGTATACTTTATATACATATGATTACTTAATCCTCCTCCAGCTCTATGCAGTCGGTATCATTAGCCCTGTCTGCCAATGAGGACCTAGTCCAGGGTCACACAAATGCATGTGGTAGAGCCACGAGTTGAACCCACGTTAGTCTGCTCCCAGAAGCTCTGCATTCCCTGGCCTCTCACCCATACCATCCTGCCTGTTAGGAAGTCAGTCTAATTTGTACAGCAGCCAATCAAGATTTGGGCACCTGAACAAACCTGACTGAACCCACTGACTGGGTCAACATTCAAAGTTCTGCCGATTTACACCCTGACTCCAAGAGTGGGCCTGGCTGATAAGGAAGGTAGAGCTACCTCAGGTCTCTGGGGCAGCTGCTGCAGGAGCTGAGGTCGGATTGTCTGGTTTCCTGCCCCAAGAGGAGGGAAGAATGTTGCCAGGATCATAACCTGAGTGAGAGCCCAGGAGCTCAGACCCCTGGCTACCTCCCCTGTGTCTCTGCCCTTCACACTCATGTCTCCATTCTCCTGGCTGTCCCTGGGGGACCAATGAGGACATGCGCAGGCTAGGAGGACAGATTGCCTCCACAGAGGTGAAGCCCCAGGATGAGTCCCTTGAGTCTCATAGTCTGTGGCTGAGACACTCCACTACTAGGGAAAAATGACATGGCGTATTGTACCTGGAGATATGTCCAATGCCCCAAACAACAAGCAAGTGGTCTGGAAGGGATTTGCAGGGAAATAGTATATAATACACCATCGATCTGATTTTGTGTTTGTCGGGCACCCAAACCATGGAGCAAAGATTGAGGTACTTCCTAGGAAGGTAAGTCTACATTGAGGGGTACACCATGCCTGAGACAAAAAGGAAGATGAGGGAAAAGCCACTGTGGTTTTCAGGTAAAAAGGACTCTCATTTAGAGCTGCCATTGTGGACTGGACATTGGGTGTTTTTCTTATACCACTTCCAATCCTCACAACCTTGCAAAAGACGTGTTGTGCTCACTTGAAAGCCGCAGGCAATGAGACTCAGAGAGGTCGTATGTCTTCCCTGAGATCACACAGCTAGGGAGTGGGGGGAGGCGGGAGACCAGCCCTGCCTGGCTCCAAGCTTGTGACCTTAACTTCTACAATACAATGCTTTCTATTGGCGACCCTGTCTTGCACAGAAACTGCAGGGGGGAAAGTATTTGGCAACTTACACAGACCAGTAGCTCACGGTCCACCAGAACAGCAACAGGATCTCAGGCAAATCATTGCATTTTCCACAGAAGTGTCTCTGCCCCTTCTATCCTTGCTGTTGTCACATAATTGATTGTTTGGTTTATGTGCCCCTGAACTTACAAGTATCCAATAAGGTATGACATTGTCTCAAGGGGCCAGTTCTGTGTCCTCCTATTAATAAATCTAAATTAACTTAATTATAAACCCTATAATAAACCCAGATCTACCAGGAAGGAAGTTCTAGTCTAGAGCCATATTCTGTGTCTGTGGCTTTATTATTGTCAGAATTGCCAGAAGTTCCCCAAATCCTGAAACTATAGCATGAGAAGCCTAAGGCAGATATAAGGAAAAGCTTCTTATGCAAGAGAGCTTTTATGCTACAGTGAGAGAGGTAAAGAGGAGAGTTTCTTTCCCTGGAAATGAGAAAGATGCCTCCAGCCTAGATGAGCCAGCAGCAAGGGACTGGCAGGACCACTCAGGCTGGCTGCAACAGCTAGAAGCTGATTCCTGCCCCACCCCCACAGCTCCTGCTATTGTCCTCCTTGCCCCTTCCTCATCTGGCAATTGTTCCAGGTCTTGTCAAGAGGGATGAGCAGCTGACAGGGGTGTGGAGCAGGGGCAGGCAGGTATGTTTGCTCAGGACTTTCTGGGTGAGAGAGGCAAGCCTCACATTCAGCCCTGGGATTACCGGAATCCCGAGGTCTTTCTCTCTCAGGCCCAAACCTGGCCAGACCTGGGCCCCCACCAGTTTGGTCACTGGCTTCATCAATGCCACTGAGCCTGAGTCACTCTGTGGGAAGCCAGAGCCGACTTGCGAATCAGAGACTGCAGAGAAGGCCTACTCAGCATTTTGGGAAGAAACCAGTAAGGTCAATATAAGGGTGGGGACTCCTTAGAATCAGGGAGTGAGGGGGTCTGTGCACAGGGTCCCCCCTTCCCCATGGGTAGAGAGCAGCCCTTCCTGGTTATCCCAAGCAGGGGTTACCCAACGTGTTTTTCAGGAAAACCATTCTTATCTTCAAAACCGCATGCCCAGCCCCACTTGTAAAACTGATTAATGGGCAGGTGCACTGACTGGGGCCCAGCAGGGGCCCGGGAGCCTTCTTACCTGCTGTTCTCCCCATGAGCCCCTGAAAGCACCTTCTGGGGTTCTTTATTGTGTTGAAGTGTAGTTCTTTCTATATTTAATTTGTTAATAGTCTTATCATGAATGGATGTTGAATTTGTCAAATGATTTTTCTGCCTCTATTGAGATGAGCATATAATTTTTATCTTTCATTTCATTAATGTAATGTACCACATTTATTGATTTGTGTTTCTTAGATCAACTTTGCATCCCAGGGATAAATTCCACTTCATCATGGTGTATGATCCTTTTAACATGTTGCCAAATGTGGTTTGCTCGTATTTTGTTGAGAATTCTTGCATCTGTATTCATCAGGGATACTGACCTACAGTTTTTTCTTATACTGTCCTTACCTGGGTTTGTTATCAGGGTAACATTAGCTTCATAAAATGAGTTTGGGAGTTTTCCTTTCTTTTTGATCTGGAAATATGAATAGGATTAGTGCTAATTCTTTAAGTGTTCAGTAAAATTCACCAGTGAGGCCATCTGGTCCTGGGCTTTTCTTTGTTGAGAGATGTTTTAATTACTGATTTAATCTTCTTGTTAGTAATAGGTCTGTTCAGATTTTCTCTTTCTTCCTACCAAGGAAGAAAGATTTTCTCTTTCCTCCTACCAAGATTCAATCTTGGTAGGTTGTATGTTTCTAGGAATTTATCCATTTCTTCTAGGTTGTCCAATTTGTTGACACACACTTGTTCATAGTAGCTTCTCATGATCCTTTGTATTTCTGTGGTATCAAAGGTAAGATCTCCTCTTTCCCTTATAATATTATTGATTTGGGTCCTCTTTCTTTCTTGGTTACTCTAGCTAAAGACTGGCAATTTTGTTTCTGTTTTCAAAGAACTAACTGTTAGTTTTGTTAATCTTTTCTCTTGTTTTTCTATGCTCTATTTAATTTATTTCTCTTCTAATCTTTATTATTTCCTTCCTTCTGCTAAATTTGGGCTTTGTTCTTCTTTGTGTACT